TCACTTGCTGTTTTCTTCGATATAACCATGTGTGGTACAACCTCACTCGATTATTTTCGACCCCATTAAGTGGAATGGTTATATGAGAACATCGTTAAATCGTTTCGTTAAGCACAACTACTGTTAGTAGATGTTTTTATCCCGATTAATCTTTTGATTAAATGAAAATATAATTAATTTTAAATAACTTAAAAATTGTACATTTTGGTCACATACACCCTTGTGAAAATTAACTGAAAGAAAACGAATAATTCCATTATTATTTACTTTTTTTCGTATTTTTTCAATGAAACATGACCCAGTGCATATGTTAGTACTTCCTATGTCCATTCCACGAAGTCGTTCCTTGCAGACTGACCACAGATTCTCGATTGGAATTTAAATCAGAGGAGTTTACCGGCCAGTCTATAGTGCTTTGACTTGCTCACTGTAAGGCTTGCTAGTTTGTTCGTGCAGCGTTACAATTTTTGTATGCTTTCTTGGAGTAACGTCCATCGCAATGGTCGTAGGACAACTAATCGACAGTCAAGACAATAGTGTTTGGGCGTGATAAAAATTTGATGCAATCACGGATGACGGAAGATTTTTCAAAACGAAACATATTTCATCATACATCCCGAAAACAGATTAATATTACTGCGAACCACTGCCAATGACCTAACCTGGGGAAAAAATCGATTACACCCTGTTACTCCAGGGGGTCTAAAACTGACCGTATGGTGAAAGATGGGATCTAAAGCAGTCGTTTCAATTAATTTGCACAAGGGTATAGAACACGGAGTGTGTGGCTTTGTAAAAATAAAATCTGGAAGAAGAAATGTGATAATTATTATCAAAATTATATTGACAAGAGCAATACAAAAACAAAAGGACGTGGACTAGGCAAAAACTTTTTATGATGTAAGGCACACAGACCTGTTTGAACTACTAGGAAAACCAGGTTTATTTGGGAAAGGTATTAGAATTATGCAGAAGATATACTGGGAACAAATTGCCTGTATATGGGTAAAAAATAAGTTAAGCAAGTACATAAAAATAGAAACGGGCCTAAGACAACGTTGTGCTTTCTTACCGGATTTATTTAACCTTTTAAGCGAGGTAATCCTAAGTGAACTAGATTATCTCGCAGGATTTATTATCGAAGGACACAATCTTAACACCATAAGATATCCAGATGGCACCCTGTGGCTTGCAGATACAGAAAGGAAACAGAAGGATCTCCTAAGCAGAAAAGAAAGCGACTATCAATCATAAAGAAGACAGAATGTTATGATTGTAACCTAAGATAGATAGATAGATAGATAGATAGATAGATAGATAGATAGATAGATAGAGAAACGGCCCAGTACACAATTCACGAATTGGCAATGTCAAACTCAAACAAATACAGAGGTTTAAATATCTGGGAATTGTAACAGATGTCGGAAACAGTGACATTAATGTGCATTGGAATAGCACAAGATGGCTTACAAAAACTAAGCAAAGTATTAAGAAGCAGGGACATTTCGCTAGAAACAAAGAAAAGAGTGCTGATCTGCTATGTAATACCAGTCCTCTTATGTGGCAGTGAATGTGGGACGATATCTTTGCAGATGAAGTAAAGACTTGAGGTAATAGAGATATGTTTCTAAAGAAGGGTCAAGAAAATACAATGGCTGGAACATTACGAGCAAAGAAAAAATTGTCAAGGAAAATTGAAACAAAAAGAACACATAACAATTAGAAGGAGACAGTTACAAACTTCAGGACAAATGAGAAAAGAATACTTGGAAAATGTTACACCCACAGAATATTTTCAAAGCCAGAAATAAACAGTGAGTAACTTGCACAATCAGCTTGAGTAAATGGATAACAGAACAATGAGTGGGAGGTGGTAGTAAAATGTTAAATATTGCTAAGAGTTACAAACATAGGAAGTTATAGAGATCCTTGATCACTTAAAATGATACAGAACATAGAAGAAAATGTTCCATTTCCAATAAATGCCTTACACTTGTGACCTTGTGCCGTATTTAAGTAACCTGAGATAGATAGATAGATAGATAGATAGATAGATATGAATAGGTTGATATAGATAGATATGAATAGATTGAGATAGATAGATAGATAGATAGATAGATAGATAGATAGATAGATAGATTGATATTTTTAAGACATTTTTATGTTTATACATTATATATATATATATATATATATATATATATATATATATATATATATATGCATGTTTCATTAAAAACGACAGACAAGGTACTACGGTTGAGCTTTTTATTTAATTTTTCTTGTGTTTTCTTGTGTTCTGACAAGAGCTTTCTTTTCTGGACAAAAGTGTGTAAGAACTGTCCGAATGTTCTGTGTTTCCGAGCGCTTTCGGCTATACCTTTAGCCATTATCAAGGATGATTCAATTATCAACTTAGTAGATTGTGTGTGTTCTGTGTATGTACAGTGTGTGGTAGTGATGTTTTTAGTTTCCGAATACAGTTTGCACATTGTGGCTTTGTTCATAGTTAATATTGTTAAGAGTTGGCTTTTCTTTTTATTATTAGAGCTTCCATTATTTTTTAGTCTTTTTTTTGCAAGTGGATTCAGTTAATATATTTGTGTTTTCTACTAGTATGTTCCTAATAGTGTCGGGTAAATCTAAAAATATTTTTCAATCCTTCTAGATCAATCATGATCTATCTAGGTCATAGCCTTACAGCCGAAATTTGATAATAATAATAATAATAATAATAATAATAATAACGATGAGGACATTTGATTTGTTTAAATTCTTTCTTATAGATCGATCTGAGTCTAGATGTACCCGAGTAATAGTCGAAATGTGATAAAAAAATGAAGACCTCAGAATTTAATTTATCGCTTCTAGATCGATCCGAGAACTTTTCAGCATTTAACTTTATTTTAACTGTAGTTATTCACTACCGGTTTATTGGCAGTTTTGTCTATTCTAATGTTGCTTACTTTGACTAATAGATAGATAGATAGATAGATAGATAGATATGAGCAGACAAGTTGTGGTGTGAAGTTTAATTTCGCGTTAATGGAGGACACTAGAATCATCCGATGACAGTGACATTTCTCCGCCCTTCTGTCTCTTATTCGACTGTATAACTTTTGGAATTTTCACAGGTATGCTTTATTATTTCTTTTATATCCTAGATAGATTTAGATGAAATTTCTGTCACATATAGGGGCGGGGAGAAGAGAACCGTAAACTTACGTGCCATGGTAAAGGCAAGATAACCCGAGAAAACAACAAGTAAACTGTTCAACTGGGATAAGAAATGACTCGTTAATTTTAAAGCATTCAAAAAAGAATCGTTCTCTTTTCATCCTTTGAGAGAACCTTTTTTTTTCTTTCCCTCGGCATGGCTGATGCTAACCTCGAGGACAGTGACTCCTTGCGACTTCTCGAGCTAACTTTTTCCCGCTGACATCGAGTGGAAAGTTTATATTTAATCAAATGCCAGAGCTGCAGAAAATCTCTTTCGCATTTATAAGTCTACCATTCGTCCATGCATTGAATATTGCTGTCACATCTAGTCTGGAGCTTTTACTATGCATTTTGAGATTCTTGATAAAATACATCGAGAAATCTCAGCTTCAGTCATTTTCTCATCGCCGAAACGTTTCCCAGTCGGTATTTATCTATCCACCCACGAGGATAGAATGTGGCACAAGGCCGGTTTAAAGTGGGTATCTCCGAGCCCGTAGGCTCGGCCAAAAATATAAGCTTTTTGAACCCGCCTAGACGGGTTCAAGGCCTGTCTACATCCCCGGACGAAACCTTGCCCTTCGGCAAAGCCTCATCCGGGTTCCTCTCTGCTAAAACAGAGAGTTCGACAGACGAACGCAAGATCGACACGAATCCTACTACTCGTCTCCCTGTCCCTTTTCTATAAATATTTTCAGGTTACTTATTCTGCTGGGAACTCCACCTTTTGCCTACATAAATAGTTTTAACATTGGAAACGCTAAATTTAACCGTACCAAGACTTTATGAATTTAAGCGTACTACTAGACTGGCAGAAGGTCTCCTCATTTTACCGTTGAAATGGCTACGTGTAGCCGTAAGTTCTATGCTAACAGTTTTTCTCTCTCGTACTTCATACTTGTGGAACTCTTTTCCGGCCTCTTGCTTTCCAGTCAAAATTGATCTTCAAACATTTAAATGCTTAATTTCTGTGCTTTTAATATTCTCTCTCTTTAATAATGTTTTCTTTTTCTCATATTATTTCACACTCACTAACTCCTTGAGTCTTGGCTTTATTGCCTTGATTGGGGGTGAAATGATTATAAAAATGTTTAAACAGTTTAAGATAAAACGAAGGCAGAACAAATCCAAATGGATCGTCTTTAAAATGTGTTGGAAAACAAAAACAGGCACAAATATCTTCAATGCCATTTACATTAGCAAAATAAAATCACCAACGCTCAAAATACTAACAATTATCTTTTGGCGTTTCCATGAAATATCTTGACGCATGTTTCTGCTATGTAAGTAGAGATTCTTGATAAAATCCATAAAATAATCTGCCATGTTATCTGTCTTGAACTGTCATCTAGATTTCAGTCACTTTCCCACCGAGATAAAGCGATGGCAAAACAAGACCAAAGACGGGTGGTAAAGATGGGTGATATATAGTCAAAAGTTACTTGGAACAATAAATTCAATAAATTTTGAAGATTCCAGATCGCTCACATAAAAGAAGATCGCTTGTGAAATTTGCAACTATGTGCTTTTCATGACCACGTTTCGACTGCCAAATATGACGCTGCAGATTCTTACAAAAGTCTGGCTCATCGTCAAGTTTACTTTTGTGAATGACTGGTAGTAAATATCACTGTGCTTGTAAGATGAATGTTTTCAAGTGTATAGGATCACAGACCTGATAAGAAAATGGATGCAAAGTTAACTTAGTGTTGACAAACAATACTCATGAAGACTAATGAAAGGCAGAAGTTCATTCTTAAATTGATTAAAATGTCAAAAGTATGATCCTTTATCGTCCATTTTCTGCTTTTCTCTTTCTGAAGTCCTTATCTACTTTCTGTTTTGTTTCTGCTTTCTCTTATCCAATTTCTCATTCATGATTTGTTCGTTTTTATTCCGTTTTCTTCAAATACTCATTTTTCTTTTTTACTTTATTTTCAATTATTTTAACTTTTCTCTTTCGTCCTCTTTTATTCGGTTTTATTTCTATTTTCTCACTGTCTTTCTATCTTTCTTTCATCCTAACATATTTTCTTTTCTCTCTTCATTATATATTTCTTTTTCATTTTCACTTTCTTTCTTTCTTTTACTCTCTTCATTTACATTTACTTCTGCTTTTCTTTTCTTCTCTTCTTTCTCCTTTTTTTTCATTCTTTCTTTTATTAATTCTTATTACAGTCTTCTCACTTGATTTCATTTATTTTTCTTTCTCTTTCCATTCCACTCTCTCCGTTTTCCTGTTCCTCTTTCTTTCATTCGCCTTACATTCTTCTCTCTCCATTTTCCTTTTCTTTCTTTCTTTCTTTCGTTCTTCTTTCTTTCTTTCTTTCTTTCTTGTCTCCCCATTTTCCTTTTCTTTCCTTCTTTCTTTCTTTCTTTCTTTCTTTCTTGTCTCCTCATTTTCCTTCTTTCTTTCTTTCTTTCTTTCTTTCTTTCTTTCTTTCTTTCTTTGTGCTTACATTCTTGTCTCCCCATTTTTCTTTTCTTTCTTTCTTTCTTTCTTTCTTTCTTTTCTCCCCATTTTCCTTTTCTTTCTTTTTTTCTTTCTTGTCACCCATTTTCCTTTTCTTTCTTTCTTTCTTTCTTTCTTTCTTTCTTTCTTTCTTTCTTTCTTTCTTTTCTTTTCTCCCCATTTTCCTTTTCTTTCTTTCTTTCTTTCTTTCTTTCTTTGTGCTTACATTCTTGTCTCCCCATTTTCCTTTTCTTTCTTTCTTTCTTGTCTCCCCATTTTCCTTTTCCGTCTTTTTTTCTTGTCTCCCCATTTTTCTTTTTTTTCTTTCTTTCTTTCTTTCTTTCTTTCTTTCTTTCTTTCTTTCTTTCTTTCTTTCTTGTCTCCCCATTTTCCTTTCCTTTCTTTCTTTCTTCTCCCTCCGTTTTCCTTTTTTTCTTTCTTTTTCATTACATTCTTCTCTCTTCATTTTCTTTCTTGTTTTATTCCTCGTTTCTCTTATTCCTCATATGCATCCTTCATCCTGCCATTGTCGTTTGCTTGCCTCATCCTCTTCTGCCTCTCCATTGTTACGCTTTCTTTTCACCTTTCCTTTTATTTCTGTTTCTTCACTGATTTTTATTTACTTAACTCTCCTTCGATTTTCTACTTTTCATTCGAACTGGTTTCTTTTTCTTCATTTTCTTCTTCCTCGTTTTCTGCCGTTCGTTTTTCTTTCTTTTCCTTTATTTTTATTCCCCTTTACTCGCATATTTTTTTCAGTTTTTTTCTTTTCTTTACATTTTTGTCCCGTTTCATTCCGAATGTTTTACTCGTTTATGATTCCGCTTTTATTATGGTTTTGTATCTCATTTTTGACATTATTCCTTTTAGCCTTTCGTTTTTTTCTTTTTCTAACTTCATCTCAGTCTTCTTTTCTAAACATTCGTTCATGTTTCTATCTTTTTAGTTTCTATGAAGCATTTTTATTTTCCCCCCCTTGTTTTTACTTTATTGCTTTTTTTCTTTTATAATTCTACATTCGTTTTCTTATAAAATTTCCATTCTTTTTATTGCGTTTTCTTTCTATTACGTTTTTACAAATCTGTTTTTCGAAAATTGTTCCCCTCCTTCTTTCTGTCTTTGATTTTCATTCTTTCTTACCATACCTCCTCTTCTAATTCTATTTTTAGCTTTGTTAATATTTTTCATTTTCTCTTTTTTCTTCTCTTTTTCATTTTATGTATATTTTATTTTTCTTTCTTTTAGTCTCATTTTCTTTCTCTTTTCTCTCTTTTCTTCGATTTCTTCATTCTGAAAATATTTTCTCTTCCTTAATTTTCTTTCTTTTATTTTCATTTCTTTTCCTCTTCTTTTCCTATTTCTTCATTTTGAGAATATTTTTCTTCATTTTCTGTCTCTCATTCTCTTTTATTCTTTCTTTGCCTTCCATTTTTTAAATATTTTTTCTATTTTAAAATTTGATAAATTCTTTTTCTTTCTTTCATTCGCATTTTTCTTTATTGTTCTCCATTTTCGTTTTTTTCTTCGATTTCTTTATCCTGGAAATATTTTCTTTTTTTTTCTCTTATTTTTTTTTCCTTTTCTCTTTCTTTCTTCGATCCCTTTATTTTTACAACATGTCCGTTTTCTTCAATTTTCTTTCTTTTATTTCCATTTATTCTTCCTTTATTCTCACTTTTCGTTTCTTTTCTCTTTTATTCTTGATTTCTTTCTTCACTTTTCATTTATTTTCATTCTTTTTTCTTCTTCCTTCATATTTTTCATTTATGCGCTGATGTTCCCGGTGGGTGTTGATATTAAACCGGACATAGAAGCTAATGACTGCACAA